TTCAAGATTACACAGGGGTGGTTTTTGCAAAAAACCCCATTAATTATATTTTGTAGATCTAAGGTTCTAGACAGTAGCCTCCCCTACTTTTTATAAAGCCAGTAAAGCCAAGAGTCTCTCTCAGACTATTAGACCGGGAAGTTAGATGCTACACATGGTCACTTATATCACATGAATTTGAAAAGTATATTTTTGATTGAATAACTAAACACTAAGTACACATACACATGAGTATGTATTTGTGATATTAAGTGTAGATCTACATTCAAATCCACCCAATATACATAACTAGTTTAGTATCTAATTTTCCCTGTAAGACCAACTGAAATGTTAAGAGAAATCCCTTTCCACATTGTAGTTGTCATACCAAGGGACGTTATAAATATGTAGCATTTCTTTTAGTTAGTATATAAACCTATTCAACAACTCATTTGTTTTCTCGCGAGAGTTTATTCCATTAAAAACCGGACTCTTGTGTTTAGTCTGATGGGGAAAATACAGTTTTTGTCCCTTAAATTTGCACCAGTTTTACATTTTTGGTCATCTATATTCACAAAAAATATAGGGTAAATAGCATTAAATCACCTGAACTTTTTAAGTTTTTGCGAATCACCCCATCGACAATTTTTTTTAGCACGAGTTCACCTGTACTCATTTAACTGTGGCACTTTGCCCTTTTTTGCCCGTTTTCAGGTCAAAATGACCGGTTGCGAACCCACAAGCGTCGCACATGCGAAATACAAGGTTGTGATATTGTCTTTTTCATTTAAAAAGCCCTAATTCTTGAATTTTCCCTCCGTTTCTCTCTTGTCTCCATTATTTTCCATCTTCAGTTTTGATCATGTTTCACCCGCTTCATTTATATAAAAACATGTGTGATATGCATAATTGGGCCAACTCAATGGGCCTACAAATTATTTACCTACTGGGTCACGAGCCCAATATCGAATACCACTATCACCGAGGCCCAATCACCTTCAAGTAAGGTTTGGGCCCCGACAATCTCAACTAAGCTCAGGCCCGGCTTTACCAATAGGCAAATGAGGTAATTGCCTAGGGCCCCACCTAGATACACACATTATATATATATATATATATATATATATATATATATATATATATATATATACACATTATTATATATTAGTTTTATGTATATTTAATATATGTTAATTAAAATTTGCTCACATAGACTTCTCATCAACGGTAAAAAAAAATTATTTCCTTAATTTACTAGAGTCCACTTCACACAATCCCACTATTCTCTCACCATATCCCATGAATTAAGGCTTTTCAGTTTCCTTGAATTCACGTTATATTCTTCTAAATTGTTTTTTTTTTCTCCCTCACACTTCTCCCTCTTCTTCTTCTTCTTCTCTCTCTTCTTCCGTAAAAAAAAAAAATTCCACCAAAAACTCTTGCCACTCAACGTGAATCACACAATAAAATCTCAAGATTTTTTTTTTCTTTTCTTTCTGTTTGACGATTTCTTTTATTTTTTTTCCTTATCATTTTTCTTTAAGTATATCTTTCTTGTTTCTACTTTTTTTGCAGGTAATTATTCAGATTTTATTTTGTTGGCTACTAGGCTTCGAGCTTGCAATTTCCAGAATTTCCGCAAATAAAAAGAAAAAAACTTGCAATTTCCAGGTTCTATTGTTTCTGCTTTCTTAGGATTGCTAATCTCCGTTTGCTTTATTATGTCGAGTGGTAGACATTACATGTCTGGTTGTCAAAAAAGAAAAAGACAAGAAAAACTAAAGAAAGATGATGACTCTCAACGAGGAGTTATAGAAAGATTATTTATGAATAGGAGGAATCAAAATGCTAGAAACGAACATGAAATTCCTATGAATGCCCAAAACGATAATCCCAATGATGTTCAAAATGATAATATTCTTAATATTCAAAATGACAATCTAATTGTTGTTCCAATTGATAATCCTACTAATGATCAAAATGAAATTCCTATGCGAGAAGAAAATGAAAATAATGTTAATAATTCAAATGAAAATATTCCTATGGATCTTAATGTAATTGAAGAAAATGCCAACTTTCTTGATAAATTTGATCCGGCAAATTGGATCAATATAAATACAAAGTTACGAGATTTACTAGTGGAAAAAGGTCCTATTAGAATTACTAATATAGATTTTCCAAAAGATCGTGATGGTAGACATTTCTCTATTTCAAGTTATATTCGAAATTTACCTAATCGAGAGAAATATGATAGGAGATGGCTTGTATATTCAAAAAGTGCAGATAAAGTATTTTGTTTTTGTTGCAAGTTGTTTAGCATTAAAACTACTTCAAGTAAATGTTTTGGTGGCGGAGTTAATGATTGGAAAAATATTAGTACTATATTAAAAACTCATGAGACATCTAGTGAACATATTAATAACATGTATGATTGGATGAATTTAGAAACAAGATTGCGAAGCAATAAAACAATTGATCATAGTATACAAGAAAACATAAAAAGAGAAAAGGAACATTGGAAACAAGTATTGAAAAGAATTATTGCCGTTGTGAAAACTTTAGCTAAAAATAATTTGGCTTTTCGTGGGACAAATGAAAAAATTTATGACAATAACAATGGAAATTTTTTAAGTCTAATTGAAATGATTGCAGAATTCGATCATATAATGCAAGAACACCTTAGGCGCATTAAAGATAGGGAAATACATATTCACTACCTCGGGCATAATATACAAAATGAATTGGTGCATATGTTAGCTTGTGAATTAAAAAATAATATTATTAAGAGAATTAAAATGGCTAAATATTTTTCTATTATACTTGATTGTACTCCGGATACAAGTCATCAAGAACAAATGTCTCTTATTTAAGAAGTGTGAATGTATCTATGAATCCAATTCAAATAGAAGAATATTTTATAGATTTTTTAAAAATAGATGATACAACGGGAAAAGGTATTTTTGATGAACTTCTAAATGTAATAAAAAATCTTGAACTTGATATTGATAATGTGAGGGGTCAAGGATATGATAATGGTTCAAACATGAAAGGTAAAGAACAAGGTGTGCAAAAAAGATTGTTGAATATAAATTCTAGGGCATTTTACACTCCTTGTGGTAGCCATAGTCTTAATTTAGTAATTTGTGACATGGCCAATTCTTGTCATAGAGCTATATCTTTCTTTGGAGTCATACAATGTATATATACTATATTTTCTAGTTCCACAAAAAGATGGAAAATATTGACGGATAATGTAAAGAAATTAACAGTTAAACCATTGTCACAAACACGGTGCGAAAGTCACATTGAAAGTGTTAGAGCCATCCAAAGTCAACCTATCGAAATAAGAGATGCTTTGATTGAATTGGGAGAAACCTCCTTAGATCCTAAAATAAAGAGTGAAGCTAAATGCTTAGCCTCTTATGAGATTGAAAATTTTGAATTTTTACTTAGCGTGAATATTTGGTTTGAATTATTACATGCCGTTAATTGTGTTAGCAAAAATTTACAATCTAAAGATATGCACATTGACTCCGCTATAGATCACTTGCAAGGTCTTGTATCATTTTTAGAGGATTTTAGAGAAAATGGGTTTGAATTAGCTATTAATGCTACTAAAAAAATTGCTTTAAAGATGGGAATTGAACCATTATTTCGAGAAAAACGTGTGATGCATAGAAAAAAACAATTTAATGAAACTCAAAGTAATGATACTATATTATCACCCGAAGAATCATTTAGGATAGAATATTTCTTATATATCGTAGATCAAGCTATCTCTTCAATTAAAGCTAGATTCAAGCAGTTTAAACACTATCAAAATACATTTGGATTTTTATTGAATATAAAAAAATTAAAGTCTTTAGATGATAACACTTTGAAAGAAAGTTGTATTAATCTTGAAAATTCTTTACAACATAACTCATTATCTGATATTGATGGTTCGGATTTATATTATGAATTAAAAGTGTTAAGAAAAGTCATACCTTCCGAAATAGATAAACCAATTGATGTACTTAATCATATAAAAGTTATTGATTCTTATCCTAATACGTGTATATGCTATAGAATAATATTTACAATACCTGTAACCGTTGCTTCGGCCGAAAGGAGTTTTCCAAAGTTAAAATTAATAAAAACATATTTACGTTCAACTATGTCACAAGAACGATTAAGTGAATTAGCTATTTTATCTATAGAAAAAGATTTATTAGAAGAACTAGAATATGAAGATCTAATTAATACATTTGCATCTATAAAAGCAAGAAAAATAAATTTTACATAAAAAAAAAAAAATCAGGCCCTCATTTTTGGGTTTCGCCTAGGGCCCCCAATATCCTAGGGCCGGCCCTGACTAAGCTATAAATAAAGGTTTGAATTCATTCCTTAAGGTACGTCCTATTAACTGAGTAATACTACAACTGTATTCTCTGGACTATTTTCTATGATCAGCACGTCTGACTTGAGCGTCGGAGGGATTTCTGCCGGATCAACCCCCGGCTTAGTTCATGTGTACTATGATCGCAGGTATCTCAAGGTCATCAAGCTCGTGAGCCAGTGGTCCACTCCGCTCTTCCAGCTCATCCTACTTCAACTCTCTGAGGTGATCTATATTTAGCATCATCATTTTGGCGCCGTCTGTGGGAAGGCAAACACAATCACGTAGCGCACATGATGGCCTTGAGACATCTGCTCAGGGGAGTGTGACACTGCTAACAACCTCCCACCTCGTGGAGGCTCTGGCTTGCCACTTCCTCCTCCCCATGCTCGGGATCCACCACGAGACCCTCCTCGTGATGTCCCACTAGATCCTCAACAGGATCACCTTCTTCCCGCCCCTCGATCGGTTCAGAGAACCGAGGAGGCCATTCAACGCTAGCAAGGGTTATCGACTCCCTGGGGGTTTACAGTGCCCCCAAAAAATTTCGCTCGCCAAGGGTTATCGACTCCCTAGGGGTTTATAGTGCCCCCAAAACATTTCGCTCGCCAAGGGTTATCAACTCCCTGGCGGATTATAGTACACCCAAAATATTTCGTTCGCCAAGGGTTATCGACTCCCTGGGGGCTTACATCTGCCCCCAAAATATTTCGATAGCCAAGGGTTATCGATTCCCTGGGGGTTTACAATGCCCCCAAAACATTTCGTTTGCCATGAGTTATCGACTCCATGGGAGCCTACCTTCACCCCCTCTCGAACGGTTCAGATAACCGAAGAGGACCTTCAGCGTAGGATCGCCAAACCTTCAATAAGATCAACTTTTACTTGCTCCTCTAACGGTTCAGATAACCGATAAGGACTCTCAGCGTACGACCGCGAAAGTTTCAACTCGTGTTGCCACTGAAGCAATGGCACAACCGTGCGCACTTGCCTCAGACCATAGGCCTCGAGCGCCTCATTCTAAAGTAGGGGGTTATCCCATCCCAAGGTGGGCATCACCCTTACCTTTTAACCCCAAGTGGGTGCACATCCCATCTCAAGAGACGAGTATAATCTCCCTACTCAAAAAATAAAACATCCACATCCCAAGGTGGGCATCACCTCTACCTTTCAACCCCAAGTGGGTGCACATCCCATCTCAAGAGACGAGTATAATCTCCCTACTCAAAAAATAAAACATCCCCATCCCAAGGTGGGCATCACCTCTACATTTCAACCCCAAGTGGGTACACATCACATCTCAAGAGACGAGTATAATCTCCCTACAAAAAAAATAGAACATCCCCAAAGGGGTGAATATCAACCACCTAAAAAAAAAATTAAGAAAAAAAGAAGAAGAAAAAAGAAGAAAAAGAAGATGAAGAAAAAAGAAACAAGAAAAAAAGAAGAAGAAAAAAGAAGAAGTTGAAGAAAAAAGAAACAAGAAAAAAGAAAGAAGAAGAAAAAAGAAGAAGATGAAAAAACAGAAGAAGGAGAAAGAAGAAAAAACAAAAAAAAAAAAGAAAGAAGAGGCGCGCGTGGCGTACACGCGCCTGACGCGCGCGCGTGCACAACACGCGCACCAGCAGAGAAAAAAAAAAAAAAGGGGGGGAAGAGGCGCGCGTGCACAACACGCGCGTCAGAAAAAAAAAAAAATATATAGAGAAGCGCGCGCTCACGCGCCTGGGGGCAGCACCTGCGCGCGCCTTCCCATGCACGCGCGTGCGCCTCCCAAGGTGTTACAGGGGTTAATTTATCACCGAAATTTTCCCTTGTACGGCCTGATTTGCCCACCAAACCAGTCAGCCTTCCTCACGATTTTCTTCGCACAAACACGCACAAACACAAGTCTTTTCAGCCACGTAAACGAATACAAGAGTATGCAGCGGAAAACAAACACACAAGCACGTTTACGGGCAATGCCCAACCTTTATATTAATTCCCACAATTGAATACAAAGGAGACTAAGGTGCACACACAAAATCCTCACTCAGAATTGCCCAACAATTGCAATCTGAACTCTCATATGCTAGATACCTCGGATTTGTGCACTCATAGCCAAATAAATACAAGGAAAAGGTAGTTTTCACACAAAACTACCTAAGGACACATGGCAGCATACAAACATGACACTTGGCCAACTATTACAAGTATAAAGGGGCAGTTTTCATGCATTTTCAGGCCTCAACCGCTCCATAACTTCCTCAAATCCGCCCACAAGGCTGATTTCCGAAGCCCAACTTGATCGAGCCCGCGAACGCGCGCCAAACGGCCCAAACAGCCCGGCCGGTTGCTAGGCAGCCCATCTGCCTTGCCTTTTCCGCACTTTTGCTTCCTTTTACCGATTACTTGCCAGTTCTTTGCACACACGGTCATCGGCACGCCCGCTCATCGGGCTGCCTTGCTTGCCTTGCCAATTTTGCCCACACTTGTCAAGTCGTGGTCGATTTCCCTCGAACGTTCGTTTGCCCACGTTATCGGCCGCATGCCGATTACTGCCCACGCTTGTCCGACTTTGCTGCCGAGCAACGCCCGTGCCAGCCACAAGTAATATCGATCACCGTTCCCACTTGAATCAAGCCGATCCTTGCTTTTCTCGGCCAAGCACCCCAAATGCTTGCCGATCACTCGACCACTCATTGGCCGATTGTGTGGCTGCCTTGTGCCAATTCCCACTTGGCACCATTTACCGGTCATGACTCGGCCACACTCGAGTCATTACCGATATCACCGATTAAGGGGGTAACAGACCTCCCCCACCAACGGTGTTCGACGCCCTCGTCGAACCGACACCATCGGCTTCAGCTTTCCACTTGTCTTGCCACCGTCTTCGATTGTGCTTGAGCACCAGCACCACATCGATTCCCAACTCCCAAGTCTGATCCCACGAATTTCCCACAAATTCTTTCAGCCCTCGGAAAAATGAACGTCGGTCACGTTCAAACAGCAGCACCCAACCACAAGTAAAAATACTAGTTTTTGGCACAACTAGTATTTTATCTCGATTGCCCAGCCAATCAAGAAAGGAGATCACCATCCCACGGAAATCACCCAAGCACGGCTTCCATTTCATCAACAACAGAAACCAGCCAAACAAAAATCCAACATGCACCCGAAATTCAGAAGATACCACATTTCGAACCCACAATTCATGCCACACACGGCAGCAACATAGAGCAAAATTAAGGCCACAATGCCCATTCATAAACCCAAATGAATACCTCAACTTGCCTTCTGCCCTCGTCTCATTTCTCGGCAATGCACGTACAAGCAAACCAGCCCGAGAATTCACCGTCTTGTTTCCAACGGCTGCAATTTGGCTCGATGACTCCTCGTCGTTCGATTCTGCCCCCAATTGCACCGCAGCCAACATAGCCACCGGTTTCTTTCCCGCCTTTGCTTTTGTCACGTACGAGCATTCGACAAAGCATGGACGCTCTTCGTCCATAATCATCAACCCTCCGAGAAACGGTATCACCGCAGCCTTGGCAGCAAGTAGGAACTCTTGCCCCAATATCACATCGAAATCATCTAGTGGTACGGCAGTCAGTCCGCACTGCCCTTTCCAAGAACCGATCACAAGATCGACATCGGTTCTGCCTCTCACCGGCCCCGCCTCTGAATTTACAGCCTTTACTTGACTTGCATGTTTCGAGAGAGTCAAGCCCAGCTTCTTGACTTCTCTTTCGGCAACGAAGTTATGAGTTGCTCCCGAGTCAACCATTGCCTTCACTTCTTTGCCGTTGATCAGCACCGTGGCATACATCAAGCCCTTGGTGCCGTTGGGTGCCTTGTCCACGACCAAAGCACTCAACAACTGAATCGGATTCGCACTCCTCGTCTCGTCCGACTCCTCACTATCCGACTCCCGCATCAAAGCATTCAACTTGCTCCTCTTAGGGCAGTCCCTCATTCGGTGGTTGCCATCACATAGAAAGCACCCACGGTTCTGTTTGTTGACGACGGGCTGTCCACCGGTCTTGGCATGCACCGTGGATCCCTCACCATCACCGCTTTCTTTTTGCTTCCAATTTCGGCCACCCTTGCCACCGAACTTCTTCCCCTTGGACTTATCCCTCTTCGAGCCTTCCTTATCGGAATCATCGGCCCCCATCACCTTGTAATCGACAAGTCGGTCCGCTGCCGAGATGGCACTTGGCAGATCCTTCACACCTTGTCTCCGCAACTCGGTTTGGGCCCATGGCTGCAATCCTGCCATGAAGTTGAACAGCTTATCTTCATCGGACATGTCACGTATGTCAAGGAGCAGAGAACTGAATTCCTTGACATACTCCCTCACAGTTCCCTTGTGCTTCAATTGCCGAAGGGATTCCCTTGCAATCCAGCCCACGTTGCAAGGTAGGAATTGCTCTTTCAACTCCCGTTTCAGCACCTCCCAAGTCTCGATCTTGACTCGGTTGGCACTTGCATCGTCTGACAAACGAGCACGCCACCACAACTTTGCATCGCCCACAAGATACATACTTGTAATGGTCACTTTTTCGCGAACCGGAATCTTCGCTGCCTCGAAGTAATTCTCCATATCCCACACGAAGTTTTCGACTTCTTTGGCGCTGCGTACACCATCAAACGCAGTCGGTTCCGGCACACGAACCTTGGATCCCGATGTTCTGCCCTCAGAACTCGAGCCTTCATTACGAACAACCCTCTTAAGCACCGCAAGATCTGTAAGCATCCCATCAAGCTTCGTCTCAACGGCATCAATGAGGAGTCCCATCTCCTCAGCAACGGACGTGAATCTGCCCTCCACAAATTCGGGCAGATCGTCCAACGATCTTGACAAACGATCGATTTCTCGCTGCCCATCAGCGAGCTTTTGTAAGATCGGTGGATCCGTTGGATCTAGGGGCGGCCCAACCAAGGCTTCAAGACGTTGCAGTCTTGATTCCATCTCTAGCATCATCACACGAGTAGGATTTGGATTTGTCGAAGAACCAAAATCTTCAGCCATGCCGAACAGCAACACGTTCGGAACCCTTGAACCGGGCTCTGATACCAACTGTTACAGGGGTTAATTTATCACCGAAATTTTCCCTTGTACGGCCTGATTTGCCCACCAAACCAGTCAGCCTTCCTCACGATTTTCTTCGCACAAACACGCACAAACACAAGTCTTTTCAGCCACGTAAACGAATACAAGAGTATGCAGCGGAAAACAAACACACAAGCACGTTTACGGGCAATGCCCAACCTTTATATTAATTCCCACAATTGAATACAAAGGAGACTAAGGTGCACACACAAAATCCTCACTCAGAATTGCCCAACAATTGCAATCTGAACTCTCATATGCTAGATACCTCGGATTTGTGCACTCATAGCCAAATAAATACAAGGAAAAGGTAGTTTTCACACAAAACTACCTAAGGACACATGGCAGCATACAAACATGACACTTGGCCAACTATTACAAGTATAAAGGGGCAGTTTTCATGCATTTTCAGGCCTCAACCGCTCCATAACTTCCTCAAATCCGCCCACAAGGCTGATTTCCGAAGCCCAACTTGATCGAGCCCGCGAACGCGCGCCAAACGGCCCAAACAGCCCGGCCGGTTGCTAGGCAGCCCATCTGCCTTGCCTTTTCCGCACTTTTGCTTCCTTTTACCGATTACTTGCCAGTTCTTTGCACACACGGTCATCGGCACGCCCGCTCATCGGGCTGCCTTGCTTGCCTTGCCAATTTTGCCCACACTTGTCAAGTCGTGGTCGATTTCCCTCGAACGTTCGTTTGCCCACGTTATCGGCCGCATGCCGATTACTGCCCACGCTTGTCCGACTTTGCTGCCGAGCAACGCCCGTGCCAGCCACAAGTAATATCGATCACCGTTCCCACTTGAATCAAGCCGATCCTTGCTTTTCTCGGCCAAGCACCCCAAATGCTTGCCGATCACTCGACCACTCATTGGCCGATTGTGTGGCTGCCTTGTGCCAATTCCCACTTGGCACCATTTACCGGTCATGACTCGGCCACACTCGAGTCATTACCGATATCACCGATTAAGGGGGTAACACAAGGCCACCTTGGAGCGCGCGATCCTATCTAATTGGGCATAACTTTTACTACTCTCCACTAAATTGCGCGTAGATTTCGCCTCGCTTCACCAAATCGCGCGAGAATTTCAACGCGCTCCACCAAATTGCGCGAGCTCTCCAGCGCGCCTCACCATACCGCGCACGCTCTCTAACGATTAAATAAAAATTATTATTTCTCCACATTACGCTAGCAATTAACGGTACATCACCACACCGATCTACTCTCGACACGATCTAGTATCCTTTTCGACTTGGCTCCCACATCGACTCGAGAGTGGGGGGCTTGCGAGACAACTCTCACGAGGAGCCAACTCCCTTGGATCTACGAAACCACAACGAGATAACTCCCACGAGGAGACCACTCGCTCCGTCCTACAACCCGCAGCGAGACAACTCCCACGAGGAGCCAACTCGCTCGATACTACGAACCCGCAACGAGACAAATTTTACTCTCGACACGATCTGACACCCATTTCAACATGGCCCCCACATCGAATCGAGAGTGGGGGCTTAATGATATGCATAATTGGGCCAACCCAATGGGTCTACAAATTATTTACCTACTGGGCCACGAGCCCAATATCGAAGACCACTATCACCGAGGCCCAATCACCTTCAAGTAAGGTTTGGGCCCGACAATCTCAACTAAGCTATAAATAAAGGTTTGAATTCATTCCTTAAGGTACGTCATATTAACTGAGCAATACTACAACTGTATTCTCTGAACTATTTTCTATGATCAGCACGTCTGACTTGAGCGTCGGAGGGGTTTCCGTCGGATCAACCCCCGGCTTAGTTCATGTGTACTATGATCGCAGATATCTCAAGGTCATCAAGCTCGGGAGCTAGTGATCCACTCTACTCTTCCAGCTCATCCTGCTTCAACTCTCTGAGGTGATCTATATTTAGCATCATCAATGTGTCACCCATGTTCGGTTCTGTTATGTTCACTAATTCTTACAGTTTGAAGATTGGATAAGTCAGAATGATATTGTTGTCTAGGTGAGATTTCTGAAAGTCACATACTTTTGTTGTCTTTTTCCTCCATTTTCGTAAAACCATATAATTAATTAATTTGACTGGATCTTTAATTATTAAATTAAAATGATTGTTATTTTCATTATTGTAAACACATGGATGTGGGTGAAACATGACCAAAATTAAAATTGAAGAGGGGAAATAATGGAGATAAGATAGAAATGGAGGGAAAATTCAAGGAATTAGGGTTTTATAAATGTAAAGGCAACAATAGCCTTGTATTTCGCATGTGCAACACGCGTGGGTTCACAACCGATCATTTTGACCTTAAAATGAACAAAAAAGGCAAAGTGGCACAATCAATTGAGTATAGTTGAACTCGTGCAAAGAAAATGTTCGGAGGGTGATCCACAAAAACTTAAAAAGTTCAAGTGGTTTAATGTTATTCACCCAAAAATATATTTGGTCCCTCATTTTTCAAAAAATCAACATTTTAATTAGTCATTGCCATCAATATTCCATTATTTCTAACGGAATAAAGTGTGTGCACCTCAGTTAGGGGCTTTTTGAACGAGCCGAGCTCGCCTGTTTTGGCTAGCACGAGCACGAGCTCGAGCACGAGCTCGAGCTCGAGCTCGAGCTCGTCTAGTTTAGTTTTTTGGCTTCAGCTCCAGCTCAATCCCATTTTGTCGAGCTCGAGCCCAAGCTCATTTTTTTTAACTATTAAATTTTATTATTAAAAAAATATTTAGATTATAATAAAACAAATTCAAAATAAACAATAAACTGTAATTATATATATATTTTTTAATATTTATATGTTCTTTTCATATTATTATATATTATTTAAATAAAAAATAATATATAAAACAAAATAACAAAAAAAATAAGGCTCGCGAGCTCACGAACAACTAAAAACAAGCTCGAGCTCGCGCTTGTCAAAAAACTCGAGCTCGAGCTTGAAAAACTCAAGTTCGAGCTTTTCTCGAGCCGGCTCATCGAGCTCACAAGCGGCTCAGCTCGTCCTTACTGCTTTAACTGACGAACTAACAGTTATTAAATTAACATGAGCGACCAAATGATTTTTTTGTGAAACTAAATGTGAAATGAAAGCAAACTTGAGGGATGAAAACCACGGCTTAATCTCACTTTACACCCTTGAAATGGAGCTTTTTGACTCTTTTCACACTTAAAAAACAATAATACCACTTTACACCCTTAAAACACAATATATCATTCACAATGCACCCGCACCCTTAATTGAATAATAAAGGAAAATTCATTTTTTATTGATTTTTTTTTCGGGGTGCAAAATAACAAATTAAATTGTTATTTTCTTCGACCTCCAATCTAATTTCGAGCGCACAAAGCGCAAAAAAATAAAAATCGCACCGGATAATTGAAAAAAATATATATTTTCTTACAAAATAAAATCAAATAAATCTTATCACTAAATAGTCGGTTGATAGATCTTTTATTGTAATAGGTAGAAATATTAGGAAGACATTATGATTTTTAGATAACTTGATAACAAAATAGCTGAAGAAATTGTTTTGCGTAAAATATATTTGTGATAAAAAATAGGATTTTTAAAAGCACGAAAAACATTAAATTTGCTTTAAAAACTGATGTGGGGTGCATTATGCATGATATATTGTGTTTCAAAGGTGCAAAATGCTATTAATTTGTTTCGAGGGTGCAAAGCGCCAGAATGGTATATTTCAAGGGTGCAAAGTGGGATATTAATCTTAATAAAAGTACTATTGTTATTAATGTTAATAAACCACCCCATGATCCAATTTTGTTAACAAAACTACCCCCAAGAATGCACCATTAGGGGAGTCTGTGCTAAGGAAAATTAAAATTGAACCCATGTATTTATTTTTAATAATAGTTGAAGGACTAAATTTTAAATATTTTACAAAAGCCCGACTAAAAAAAAAAATCATGAATAAAACTGACATTGATAGATAAACAGTGACTGAAGAATATAATAACATATGGTAAAATGCTAGCAACCAAAACAAGCATGAGAAGTACATATATTACTAGTAAATAATGTTCTTACGATAATATCTTTAGATCGATGAACGTAAGTACAAACAAAACAGCATCTGGCTGGAGTTACTATTCGTCCCATCTTCTCTTACGCTTTTTCCTTAACATGGAATTGATCATCAGGCCATCGGTTAGAGCAGAAGTCGATATAAGAGATGCTCTTAGTATGCTCAGAGCCTACAAAAAAAAATAGTATCAGTACATGAACATATGTATAGCTACTAGATATATATATATAATAAAAATCAAAATTATGACCTCTTGCAACCGAATCTCAACCGGGAGTTCCACAATGTCGGAAAAAGGGATTTTCAGACCTTTGAGAATAGAAATGGTCGACGCTGTAGAAAAAGGTGTCACCGTTAAATCATCAGCTATGTTATACATTTTTGGTCCCTTGACGTATGCTCCTTCGACATCCAGTATATTGCTGGTTAATACGCATTTATATCGTTTTGGTTGCATTATCCTGCGTCTTGTACTTGCTTTTACTAAACCAGGATATTCAGTACTTTCGTACAAATTGTTTATACTCTTAAGACAAGAGTTACTGCCCAAAAGAAACTGGACATCGCCCAAAGTGATTTCCAACAAACCGAAGAGGAAATCTACCATCTCCCTCCCTGCTTGAGCAAATAATAACCTATTGCTAGATTCTTGTACTATCAATGTCAAATTCAACTTCTTGAAGTTGTAAAGCGTTCTATTTAATGCGGTGCAAGGGTTTTGCTTTCGCGGTGTAATCATCCTGTCCTTTTTTAGTATGACATCCGATAATGGAGTCGAGGAGAGCAAGGCTCCCTTTAGCAAATCCATTATCTACAAAAAAATAAATGTCAAAAAGGAAAAAAAAAAAAAAAAAAAAAGAACACTTAGCTTGTATAAAATTAAATTAGAGAAAAAGACACTCACTTGACTGAATCCAAAGGTCACATTCCTCGTCTCACCCACATCAACATCGTCGAGTTGAAGTTTTTTAATAGTTTGAATGAATCCTGTGGTGTGAGGAAACATTAGAAGATCATCGGTGATTATGAAAGATTCTGTGTTCGATAGGGTAAAAACTCCACCATCACCGTTAGCAGTAGCTTCAAAATGCATTGCACCGATTTCCATTTTCTTTGAATCTCCGCAAATGCATGTTCCTCTAATACGGCAAAACCATTTCTTACAAGCGAAGCATTCATTAATATTGAGCTTCAGTTTACGACATTCATCTTTGAATAAGCTTTTCGGATATAGAAGCATCTCCTTCGAACAATCCGTGATGCTGTTGAGATTTGCAACTCCATTGTATAAACTCGTTAAGCTTCCAATGTTGACACGTGTCTCTTTATCTTCTCCATAATGCTTCTTCATAACCCTAACAACTGTTCCCAATGGCAATGTCAAGAAGCTTAACAAAACATCCGCAAAATCGCTATCGACTTCTGCAAATAGAACTTTGTCCTTTTGCTTATTTAAAACTACGTTTAGAGAGAACTCAACATCTTCAACACGAGACATTATATTATTTATGTAAATATATATATATTTTTTTTGGAAGGTTGTGGAAACAAAGAAATTTTAGACTGATGAAAATGTTGCAGCGATCTCCTTTCTTTATAAGGCCAAAAAAGGTAAGACCAAGAGTCAATAATGTATTCTTTTTAAATACGTATATAATGATTCATATAACTCCAACTACATTCTTTGAATCAAGAACTAAAAGGGTTAATATTGATGTTCCCGGTGTAATAAATTGTCGTATACATTTTCAATTTAAGTTTCTGAGTTCAAATATCGGTATTCCTTTAACAAAAGGAAAATAAAAATATCAGTATTTCTGTAACAAAAGGAAAATTCCAATTTCCCCACATGTACTTTGGCTCAATATCACTTTATCCCCTTCCACACTCGATTGCATCAATTTGCCCCCTGTATTTTAAAAATTGTCTCAATGTGGCCCTCGTTGTTAGTTGTCAGACATTTGACCTTAACACCGTTTGATCTAAGGTCTGAAGTTACAAAAACGCCACATCTCCTAGGTTAAATAATTATTAAAAGAATAAAAAATAAAATAATAAAAAAATTCAAGTCAACGAGAAAACATAGTCCACGATGTCAGCCACAATTTTTTTTTTCTGTGATAATTATATAAACTGAGATGGGTGGCTTTTTGTAATTTTCAAACTTGATCAAACGACGTTAAGGTCAAATGTCTGAAAACTAACGGCAAGGGCCATATTGAGACAATTTTTCAAGTATAGGAAGGCAAATCTATACAATTGAGAGTAGAAGGGGTGAAGTGATATCCAACCAAAGTACAATGGTGGAAAGTGGAATTTACCCAAAATAATCAAAAAATAGGGTTAAATATAAATTGCACCCCTGTACTATCACCATTAAGTTGAGGGGTCATTTTGTCGCATTTTGTAGTACATGGGGTATATGCGACATTGGTGATAGTACAGAGGTGCAGTTTGTATTTAACCCTAAAAAATACTGATCTGGGTGGAAATTTGAACGGAATTTTCGATTGCCGTCGATTCCTATCCAAAAATATTAGAATTTGGAACCTGCTTTTTCTTCTGATTTTTTTGATTATATTTTTAATGGAATCGGAATCGCATATAAAATAACAAAAATTCTGAATTTCAAATCCGATTTTAGTTTTGAAATATATAATATATTTTTTTATTTATATTATATGAAAACTATAAATATCCAATTGATCAAGTAAACTAATACCTTTTAAAGTAAACTAAGACCTGATTATTATAATCCACATACACCTTGTGGACTAAGTAATGACATGCTACGTGTCATTCTATAGTAATAGATATCATAAATCAAGCATGACAATGCTTAGATCTTTTTGTATATAAATAGCTGAAAGACTTTTATTTAATTTTATGCGGAAAATCTTAATCACAGAATCTTGAAATCAAATTCATCTTAAGAACATAAACACATAATTGGGATTATCGACATACCGTTCGCCATGGGTTTCGATAGAGACGATGAACGATAACAATCTACAAGCCGAGCCTAGCCAGGCCTCCTTCGAATCTCCTTGTGAGAACTTTATTCGTAGGCACACCTTCTTCTCTCTATCTCTCTAATATCACAACTCACTAATATTCTGTAAGTGATGGAATTCTCAATTGCGTCTGATGGTTGAGGAGAAGAGTTGTGGCTGCTTTTATAGACGAGAGAAGAGGGCCACGATTGATTTGTAACGGCAGAAGACAAATCCCACCCATCATGGTCTTTTACTGCCTTCAACGTTACAAATCAATTACCATAAAATCACCTTAATACCATGATTTGAATTACCCACAATTAATAAATTAAATACAAAGGTTAATGGGCCATTAAAATAAAACGTTACAAAAATAAAACTAACATTCTCCCACTTGGCCCATTGAACCGTTTAAGAAAAATAAGTTTTTTAAAAATTATTTGACTCGGTGGGTTCTTCATACAAAACATTTGACACGTGATCACGATTTTAAAATAAAATTAAGGTGATTACCATAATAGGTAAATAGAGTACTTTAATACTAGAACTAGCTTGAGTTATTAATGTGAATCATAGCGGTTATATGATTCATTCATCATATTCCCTTCTATGTATCACGCCACTAATAACCCTTACTATTCTAATCCATAATAGCCCCTTTAATTTTGTCTTGTTAGGACAAACCCTGTTAAATCCAAATATAATATGTGCACACATAATTGGAAACAGGAAAACAGAAACATTTCATTAAATAAATTAAGTGTCAATTACATAATCATAACTCATTAAATCATGGATTGCTCAAAAGACCCATTCTAATAACATGTTCCTCATATGTCTTTATAGGCAATCCCTTGGTTAATGGATCAGCAACCATAAGAGTTGTACTTAAATTTTCTATTGACACTTGTTGTTTCTGGACTCTTTCTTTAACAACCAAGTACTTAAGATCCATGTGCTTGGATCCACTTGAATACTTTCCATTCTTAGAGAAGAAAACGGCTGCGGTGTTATCACAATATATCTTCAAAGGCTTAGCAATTGAGTCAACAGCCTTAAGCCCTAAGATAAAATTTCGCAACCACAGTGCATGACTCGAGGCCTCAAAACATGCTACAAACTCAGCCTCCATTGTGGAAGAAGCAATAATACTTTGCTTTACACTCTTCCACGAGATTGCTCCACCAGCTAGTAGAAATACAAAGCCCGATGTGGACTTTCTACTATCTACACAACCAGCAAAATCGGAGTCTGAATAACCAATAACCTCTAATTGGTCCGATCTTCTGTAAGTAAGCATGTAATCCTTTGTTCCTTGAAGATACCTCATAACCTTCTTTGCTGCTTTCCAATGATCTATTCCCGGATTACTTTGATATCTACCAAGTACTCCCACTGCATAACTAATATCTGGTCTAGTACAAGTCTGTGCATACATCAGACTTCCAACTGCTGATGCATATGGAATCAATTTCATTTTCTCCTTTTCCAAATCATTCTTTGGACATTGCTTTTCATTTAATTTATCACCTTTCGTGATAGGAGCATTAATGGCTGAACAAAACTGCATATTAAATCTTTCAAGAACTCGATTGATATATCCTTTCTGAGACAAGCCTAACAATCCTCGAGATCGATCTCTAAAGATCTCTATCCCAATAACATAATTTGCCTCACCCATATCAACCATCTTAAAATTCTTGGAAAGATAATTCTTAGTTTCGTGAAGCAAACCAAGATCACTACTTGCTAGTAAAATATCATCCACATACAAGACTAAAAAGATAAACTTGCTCCCACTGACCTTTAGATATATACACTGATCAACAGTGTTTTCCTTAAATCCAAAGGAAGTAATGGTATCATTGAATTTTATATACCATTGTCTAGAAGCTTGTTTAAGTCCATATATGGATTTCTTTAATTTACAAGCCAAGTGTTCCTTTCCTTGTTTTGCAAATCCTTCAGGCTGGTCCATATAGATATCTTCATCTAAATCCCCATTCAGAAAAGCGGTTTTAACGTCCATTTGGTGCAACTCCAAATCATAATGAGCTACAAGAGCCATAACGATTCTAAGAGAGTCTTTCTTAGATACTGGAGAGAAAGTCTCTCTATAATCAATGCCTTCTTTTTGAGTGAAACCTTTGGCCACTAGTCTAGCTTTAAATCTTTCGATATTGCCTTTAGAGTCACGTTTGGTCTTGAAGACCCATCTACGACCGACTTTCTTACTGTTATTAGGCAATTCGACAAGATCCCAGACACCATTATAGTCCATTGATTTCAACTCTTCATTCATAGCATCAATCCATTTACTAGAATCTTTACTTTTCATGGCTTGTGAATATGAAACTGGATCATTTTGAATACCAATATCAAAATCAGATTCTTGTAGATACACCACATAATCATCGGATATGGCAGATTTCCTTTCCCTTTGAGATTTCCTCAAAGCTACCGGCTGTAGTGGTTCTACAGTATCGCCAATAATAACATCTTCATGAAGTGGTGAATGGAGTGGCGAATCATTTGTTTCATCAACCTGCTGTATAGGTTGAAGAGTAACGTTATCTTGAGGGAAATAAGATGGTAAACTATCCACCCTAATTTCCTCAAGTTCTACCTTTCTTGATTCAAGACTCCCACTAACTTCACCATTCTCTAAGAATTTGGCGTTTCCAGTTTCAACTATCCTCGTAGTATGGTTAGGACAATAAAATCTGTACCCTTTAGACTTTAGTGGATAACCAATAAAATATCCAGAAATTGTTCTAGGATCCAATTTCTTTTCATTTGGATTGTATATTCTAGCCTCTGCAGGACAACCCCAAACATGTAAATGTCTTAAACTAGGTTTCCTACCAGTCCACAACTCGTAGGGAGTTGTTGGGACTGCCTTACTGGGAACCCGGTTTAAGATATACATAGCGGTTTTCAAGGCTTCATTCCAAAGTGAAATGGGTACAGTTGAATTACTTAACATACTCCTAACCATATCCATAAGAGTACGATTACGACGTTCAGCAACTCCATTCTGCTGTGGTGTTCCAGGCATTGTGTATTGAGCACAAATACCACGCTTTTCTAAGAATTTAGCAAATGGGCCAGGATTTTGTCCCGACTCATCATATCTACCATAGTATTCCCCACCCCGATCTGATCGTATAACTTTAATTTTTCTATCTAATTGTCTTTCGACTTCCGTAACAAACACCTCAAGCATGTCAACGGCTTGAGATTTTTCATGAATTAGATAGAGATAACCATAACGAGATAGATCATCAATGAAGGTGATAAAATACTTTTCTCCACTAAAACATGGAATAGGTAGTGAGCAGATATCTGTATGGATTAACTCAAGAAGCTCTTTACTTCTTGTGGCACCCCTTTTATTGTGTTTGGTTTGCTTACCCTTAATGCAATCAACACACATTTGAAAATCAGTAAAGTCTAGATTTTCCAAAATTCCAGTTTTTACCAATCTTTCAATTCTTTCCTT